ATAACTCGAATTTGTTCTCGTGTTAGATTCATGATGATGCAAAAAAAATATGTCAGTAGTGAATCACTTAATCTACAAAACAACCAAAGGAAAAATGTCTAAGAGCTAACGTTGATACAGCCTGAAGTAATTGAGGTAGTTTGGATTACAAGATGGTGATGCACATAGTTCTAAGTTCATGTCTGTATTGTGTGTCTTTTTACATTTTTATTTGTATCAGCACGAGATAATAATCCTCTTTGATATAAATAAAACAAAAAATACATACTATGAAAAGTAGAGAATCTTTCAAAAAACTCTTGGGAAACTTTAGAAACTTTGAAAGTCATAAAATTTACTCGACAATACACGACCTCTACAGAGTTTGACAGCAGGCTCAATTCCTCTACCCACTTGTTTATTAATGAACGTGTTGTGTTTTTCAACAAATTTTGACGCATTTTTTTTTTATTCGATCGTACGATTCTTCAACATGAAAGAAAGAAGAAAAAATAGAACATTTGTTGCTTTTCTTTTTGTTAGAAAAGTTTTAGTTGATTGCATGATTGATCGAGTGTAAGAAAAAGAAATCTTTCCTTTTTTTTGCTATTCTTAATAGATGAAAACAAGCTGCTACTAATTGCTGACATTGAAATTTATTCCTGTTTTTCTTTTTTATATTTTAATAAAGATGAGTGTCAATAAAAATCGTTCAAGTACAGTTTATTTAAATCAATTGATAACAAATATTCCTCTACGACAAAAAATAGCGGATCAGAATGATCGAGATAAATTCGAATGGAATCAAGTATGTATGAAATATTTCTTTGAAATTAATATTCATTAGTTCTTTTTTTTTTTTGTTTTCTGTATATAGTGGCAAAGTGCAACAAAAGCAATTAATAATGTTGAAGTATCACCGAAAGAAAAACATGTTCGAAGTAAGAAATAGAAGATAAATATTTGTGTTTTTAAGTAAATTTAAAAATGGATTTTAGATCTTATTCTTGGTACATTTCGATTGGAAGGTTCTCGTCTATTTTGGTCCATGATGATTAGAATTAATATTGAATCACATCCTGTTATTGGTTGGAAGTTTTGCTATATTATTCATCGACTTTTAAGAGATGGACATAAAAATGTAGGACTAAATTAAGTTATATTCTTTAATTGATGATTGATTTGTTTGCAATGAAAGTACTTCCCTGCAGATCATGACAACATATGAATTACTATCTTATTGCATTTCTAGAAGATTAAGTAAAAGAACGATGAAGAAATGTGTCCCAGGACGTATAAAATAAAGCAATCTTCTTCTGATTAGCAACAATAGTAACACTTAGAAGAAAATGCTCTTGAACGCTTTGAGACTCATCTCTTGCATTGATTGATGAAAACATATATATGTTATAAGTTCAAATACTATATGACGGATGTAATTGTTTCGACTAGCTATAGCTTATGTTAGATAGTTTCGAGGAAAAAAAAAGTAAACTCATTGAAATCACAATAATAAAATCCTTCTTCACTAAACAGAATTCATAATTCTGTAATAAGTAAATCATATTTCTTGTGATTCAAATCGCACGAAAACCATTTGGTATAAGATGCACTACACCGCTGGTATATCAGCAGCAGTATGAATAAACGTGCAATATGGGGAGTGAATTGCGTATTCCTATTGAGATTTCAAGTCTTATAAACTAAACAACCGATCAGGTTTTAATAAACTTCGAACGTTATTTAGATCATTCATGATTGCATTATATTGGCAACTTATTTTGATCAATTAAGCAAATATTGGGTAAGTTAATTTCAACATCAGTTTGTATGTGTGTATATTCAGGGTGCGTCATACATAACACTACGGTAAACAATTGAAATATCTTCGTATTAGTTCATTCAAATGGATTGATTTTTTTGATTGGTGATAGAAGTTTTTTTTTTTCATACAAATAATGTAATCACTACAGAAATTTTACCTGTTCTCATGGAAGAAAAGTACATCTGTAGCGCTTCAAAATAATTTTCAGTTTGCCATCTGAGAGAATACAAAGAAGAAAATTAAAACAAACTTTATCAAAGATATAACATTCATATACAAAAAGCAAACGTTCAGGACTACTATCGATGCCAACAATATAAGATAGATAACTAATTTTTTCATAACTTTTGATAGAACACAAGATAGTGACTTGTGGTTTTCACTGTTGAAAAAAGAAGAATAGTGTTTTTTTTTCTCATGGCTTCCGATGTCTAGAACTCACGTATGTAGTCAATAGTTGACCAATCAAAATGTTACCTATTTCGATAAAAAATAATCTTCTCTTTTCAATGGTAAAAACCACAGATCTCTACCTTGTTTCTATCAAAAATTATTCAAACAAGGCCACATGCCTTATGAAATGTTGAAATTCATGTATATTTCTTTAGTGAGATCCATAATAGTAGCATTTGTTTACATAACTCGTATTTTGCATGAAACTGAAATGAAGAGAAGTTAATTGTTTCTCGTAGTATTATTAATGACTCATGTTGAGCACATATATTCTGTTCATTAATAATCTAGAATGGTGTACAACAAAATTATAGTTTACTATCATATCGTTATTGTAATTTAATAATAGCAAAATTAAAATTTCATGAACGAAATCCAATATTTACGGGAAATTTAACAATGAATGAATATAAAGATATTCGTCGTTTATTTAATGATAATTTTAATTCATATTTTCAATTATGTATTGAATTATTTGATTATATGGAAGCAATATTAAATCTTGTTCAAGTTATTTTTAAATCACTTGATCAATCACGTTCAAATTCAATGACAGCAGCTGGTCAATGTCGTCTTAATCCACTTATTGTTTGTATACAAGATTCAAGTCTTCTTTATGATTATATTGTTAAAGTTCTTTTTAAATTACATGAAGGTAAAGAGATTAATTTCTAGTTTTCATATTTGAAAAAAAAAATTTAGGCTTATCTGGTGATGTATTGCAAGATCATCGGCAAAGATTAATTGATCAATTTCAAAGATTAAAATGTTTCTATGCTCAATCATCAACATTACAATATTTTAGCAATCTTATTAAAATTCCTGTTTTACCTGAAGTATAAATAATTCTATTTCTCAATTATTCTTATCGCCTTTTTTATTCTTGATAGAATCCACCAAATTTCAATGTAAAAGAAGATTTAAAAAATTATCAAACTCCTGTAGCTATTGTAAATACATCATCATCAGATTCATCACAAGTGATGGAAGATCTTCTTATTGATATATCAGATGATGTAAGATATTAAGATTCATCAGTTTTATGATTGATGTCAATGTATTCGTGCCTCCGACAAAAAATTTAAAATAATTTATAGATAGAATAAAATAAACCCTAGTCAGACGTTCAATGGAATCTTGTACAGTTCGTCATTGTATAGTCGTGTAGGACTAAGTAAAGCAAGATTTCAGCTATTTCGTAGTAACGTAAATGTCTAGTTTCGAAAAAGATTTCATCAAAGTTGAAATTTATTAAATATTAATTTAATCTATTGAAAGGAAAAACAAGAGTTTATGAAATCAATTGTTTATTAATATTCTTTTGTTATTATTTATAAAGAATTCATTTTTTAGACTAAATCAACATTAAGGGCTACATTCAGCGATAATTTATTAGAAAATGAAACTATGTATAATCGGTTCGTCAATTTTTAATATCTAAATAATACATCATGATTTATTGTTATCTATAGTGCACAAGACATATCCGATCTTGAACAAACATTATTACAGGTAAACAAATTACAATTATAAAATTTAATATATACATCATATAATTTAAATACAGTACGATACAATGTTAAAACAAAATCGTTCTGAAACTGATGATTTACATCGAACTATTGTTATTAAAGATGCAGAATTAATTGCTGAAAGAGATGTAGGATTGAAATTTTACAAAAAAAAAAAGATTCCTTTTCTTATATTTCTAATGCTTTTTTAAGCATCGCCTACAAATTGAAGAACAACTTCATCATCAATTGAATAATCAACAATCAATAGAAGAAATTCATGCATTTGATAGTACATTGAAAATTTTTTTTTTTTTTGAAAAACAAAAATATGAGAAATTTTATTTCTCTTAGATAAAACAAATTCGAATGAAAAATTTAATAAATTACTTGATACTTATAATCAATTGTATGAAGAGCATATTGTTGTCTTACGTCGAGTATAAACGATTGTTTTCGATTTTATTTTAAAACAAACAAATATTCTGATTTAGGAAGGTGAAATTAAAAAACAATTAGAAACTTTAAATCAACAATATAAACAATTAAAAGAAGATTATACGGTATTATGATTTATATTTGATTGTTTATTTAGTTTTAATTTTAGAAAAAAGAAAATGAATTCAATCAAAATTATCAAAAATTTAACAATGAAATTATGCAACTACGTCAAACAAATGATGTAAGTTGAGAAAAATCTCGATACATACAATAGAAGAAAAAGATATCACAACATTTCGCTTACTTATTATCTTCAGAAAAACAGATAATCTTATTGTACAATTCACAATATTCTAATATGATCAGTCTGATATCAAAATTCTTTCCTATAAACTTGTTATCAGTTAATCAGACTGTTTTCAAATAGTATTGCAAACAGAATTGTAAACTGATTAAAGTTGTATGAGATTATATGTACAAGTTATTTAGGAGATTATTAGATTCTTTACTCAAGACATAAGCTGGTCATAATTTGTCGAAGGTACTTCGATCGCTATAAAGTGTTGAGTCAAGATGACTCTATAAGGTACGTATTCGAAAGAGAATTTATCAGATATCTACTAGTAATCGAAATTAGGAAAAAGATTAAATTGAATGACTAAATTCTTAAACTTCTGAATATCCGTGGTCGTGAACGTGGGAACAAACACGATTCAAAACATTTCAGCCATATGATTCACAACTCGCTCTTTGTTAATTCTATGGAACTTTATGAACTATCGATTATTGAAAAGAAATATTATTTCGCTTTTTTTATCCTGTCTCTGAACATTATGACGTACAACAATGATAAACTTGGTAGAATAAAATTTTCCTTAGAAGTCTCTTCTATTTCCACGTAAGATATATCTTGCAGATGTCTTATATAATACATACGTATATATCGACGAAAATATTTGTCTAGTGACTATTGGGTAGTAAAGGGAGAAATGAAGTTTGTCATTCATTGTTTTATCTTGTAAACTTTATCACATTAAAAGTCAAACAAAATATTTATCATCAATAAATTGCCTTCATGAATTGTGTCATTACTTAATAACTAAAGATTTGTTTTTAAAAAAATGACGTGGAAAAAACATGTGCTTTTAAAAATCTTTTTTTCATATCTTCTTCTTTTCTTTTGACATAACAGTCAAATAGAAAAAACAAACGATACTACTCATGTCTACTTAAAACTAGCACTGTAGACGAAAAGTACAAGGTACAGAAAAAACTTATCCTTCACATCTCTGTATGAGATCAATAATCTATTTGTGTGGTTATTCTATCAGTGGCTCTTCTGAAATCGACTACTGATGGTAAAGGATTAAGAAATGAATCTATTCATGCATCATAGAACTTCAAATAATTATTTATGTATTCAATAGAAAAAAAAGTGTAAATTAACAAGTTAAATTTTGAAAACATCTGGAGACTCGAAGGAAAAAAATCTTTCTGCAGATTGGGTTGTAACTTACATACAACAAATAATGTCATTTGTTCTCATGATCAAAATGATCATCATTAATATTGATTCGGAAGAGTATCATTGATAGTCAAGGAATCGAAAGTCGATGTCGACTAGGTTGTTGAACTTTATAGAATTGAGAAGCACGGTTCAGTATTCTTTCTTTAATATAGGAATTACAAGGTCGAATTCAGGTGCTTACAACTGAACGTAATGATTATCAATCCATAACAATAACAACCAATGAACGTATTAAAGAAATTGAACATGCTAAACAAGTAAAACAATACAAGTTTTTTTTGGTTGCTTTTTTTTAAATTAGATATCTTTTATTACTATGAATTCAGAGTTTTGAAGAACAATTAAAAGAATTAGAAAATGATAAATCGCGTTTACATAGTGATAAATTCACTTTTGAAAACAAATTAAAAGAAACCGAAGGAGAACGTCGTGATTTATTTGATCAAAACCGAGTAAATATTTTCTTTTCTTTTAACAGAAATAATGTATTTATTATAGGAACAAGAAGAAAATCTTATTGATTTAATACATGAAAAAGAAGTGCTTGAACAAAAAGTTATCGATTCAGAAGAAACAATACGTGAATGGGCACGAAAATTTATTGATATAGCCGATAAACAAAAATTAATACAAGCTAATCATGAAAATCTCTTGAATAATGTAAAACGACAATATAAATGTAAAGTATAACATAGACAAATAAAAAAAAAAAAACAACACATCTATTATTTTTTCTTTTTTTAAAGACTCCATTTTAACATATTGTATCAATCAAATGCATGATGGAATTGATAGAACAAAAGACATTGAATTATTGAATTGTAAAAGTAGTGCAGACTATCTTCGAACGAAATTACAGATAGCTGTTACAAGTACAAAAAAAATACAAGATCTTTGGACAAAACAAAACGAATTAGATGAAAGTTAGTCAATGTGTTTCATTGTCAATCTATCTCCGAGAATCAAAAGCTTCGGATCTTCTATTATTTCAGTCTTCTAACATGAGGAGGAATTTATTTTGTTCACTTTAAACGGGTCATCGGAATAAGAAGAATATTTTCAATATATAAAATCTTTTCGAAAAAAACTCTCAATGATCTAATATATTCAGAGTTTGATTGTAAATTTCGATATTGAAATTTACTCATATTTTCATTCTATAAGATATTTCGAAAGTTTAAGGTCGGATTAGGTGAAGAAAGAAACTATCTATTCAGTTTAAAACAGAATCCTGTGGGACAGTTCCGAAATTCGAAAAATTCCAAAGTACTATTAAAAAATAAGTTTCTCAGATCCCATTAAAATTATAAATTTTGGTAGGTTTCTATCTACGGATTAATACATATGTAAAATGTCAGGTCATAGTTATGTTAATCGACCTGATGAATTATATGTAAGATTATAGGGAAAAATTAAATAGAGTTTTACTCAATGAAAATCGAACTCGTTCTGATTAGAAGCATTCTCAGACAAAAGATCGATGTCCCCTTTTCTCCACAAAGACATTTAAATATGTACAAGAATTAGGGATTGAAGAGTTTTCCCAAGAGGAAAATAACCTTTTGTTTATGATGTTCCTTTCTTAAATAAATGCCTGTTGACTTTACTGAGTATAATAGTCTATATGCTTCTCATATGGAGACTTTCAAGCCTTATCAATGTTAATATTTCAAAAAACAAAATGATAATTGATACTAATTGTTT